GAAAACGAACCTAGGATCTTGTGCACACTCATTGTTAAGAAGGAACAGTGATAACTACAGCTCCCCATAGTATTGAGAAATTGAAAGAAATCTGTAACATATAAGTGACTTTCTTTCTCATACTTGTTTATCATATGAGCAAGAAATGCTACAAGTTTATAATTTGAAGCATTATACATTGCAATTATTGGTCTTACTGAAGGCTTGGGTTTATTTATCTTTATTGTATAATAGAGCACTGGCATCGAGCTATCTGAGGCAATTCATTCATCATATTCTTTTCTTATGATTTTCCTATCTTTCAATAATTCGAGCGGTCTAGTTGGATACATTTTTCTTCTTTTCCATCCTACTTTACTTCTTCGGGTCTTGCAAAATTTGAGCTACTTTATTCATATAATCAATTTTTAGTATGACTAATGTCCGTTTCAAAATATAAAGCGTCCCACTGTTTTTGAATAACTCAAGAACGCAATCAGCTAGAGATCTGCGGTTTTCACCAATCGAAAGAAGAGACAGGGGATGTCTTTTTCTCCGATATTGTATCAGACAAAATCATTTTAAAATCAGTCATTTCTGCAAAACATTGCAAAAAATGCATGAAAACGACCCGGCATTCTGAAGAAATTTTCCTTTTGACGTGTGATCTAGATAGAGGGACTTCGGATCTATACTTCAGGATATAATTCGAATGATTATCTTACCGCATTCTAACGTTTAGCAAATAAAATCGTCTGTTTACTTGCAAGAAAACTATGAATTTCTTTTAATTTTGAAGTCAATTTTTTTACTTTTTGTCAAAATTTCATCTGAATGATAGACCATTTTTTCGATGTTATGCAGAAATGACTGGTTTCAAAATGATTCCGTCTGATACGATATTGGAGAAAAGACGTCCCCCTGTCTCTTCTTTCGATTGGTGAAAACCGCCGGTCTATAGCTGATTGTGTTCTTGAGTTATTCAAAAAACAGTGCGACGCGTTATATTTTGGAACGGACATTAGTAATAAAATTCTTGGTGATTTTCGATTATTCTCAATATAATTAAGAAGAGTAGTTACGATACCAGCAAATAGGACTTAGGTAGAAAGAATATTTAGCTCCACTGGATTGACATTTACACGAAGATGTACATATTTATTAAGAAGTGAAACTGATCAGATATTTCTTATTCACTCATGGAATAAATTGAAGAAAAATCAATAAAAAGATAATTTATGTGTTCTCTTTATTCATCTGTGATATATTGATTACATGTTGAATCCTATATATTTATTTGTTTTATTAGTGTTTTGTTCACAGTATGTATGTCAATTATTTGTTTTTATGGTTCTTTTCACTTGTGTTGTAAAGCATGTCATAAGGATTAATTAAATGTCTATATTGTCAATGATTTTTGTCCGAATAGTACGTCTATAATATTTAATATCATACCTAATATACAAGCAACTTGTTTTCCTTGTCAAAAGTACAATGAAAAGATTGTCATTCATTTCGAATGCAAGAGAGTGTCTGTTCTGTTAAAGGTGTCCTACCAAGACGAACTTATTGGTTTTCTGTCCTGTCTCCTACAGAACTCAATCATTGAGGGATA